TGAGTAATGGGTATTTTATAAGTATCATAAAGAAATTTTTCACTCAAAAATAAAGATTTCTTTTTTTTTTTGCCTGAACTAATGGGACTATAAAAATCCTTAATTACTGACATACTCGGTTAATTTTAATAAAAGAAATTAACTTGGATTTGAAATACGTATATACGTACTTCGTAGTCTTACGTAAATACAATCAAATGCGTTCTGTGCTTCGTGTGTAAGCCAAAAGTTGTCGTCTTGGAAGCAAATATTTGAATAATTCAGGGATGTTATTTGGAAACTTTCTGAATAAGTTGATGAGATTGTAGTTGTTTTTTGTTTTGTTTTGTTTTTTTTACATTTGGTAATGCTGGATTTGTGCTTTGTTTTTGTTATCCTTATTTAATTTTTTACTTCAAGTCTCTTTTTTAATTAGAATTAATAACTGGTTTGTTTGTGTGTTTTATTGTTGAATTTCGCGAAAAGCTATTTGTGCTAGCCGTCCCTGCTTTTGAAATGATAAACTAGAGGGAAGACAGCTAGTCAACACCACTCATCGCTAACTCTTACGATGCTCTTTTATCAACGAAAAGTGTGATTGACTGACACATTAGAACGCCAATACGGCTGAAAGGGCAATAATGTTCGAACTTGCGACCCGCAGATTGCGAGTCGAGCGCCCTAAACGCAAGGCCATGGAATTACTAGAGGTCTGAACTAAGGTTTCTTTACAGTTACTAGAGGTCTGGGTAAAGAGACCTTAGTTATCAGCATTATTTTTTAAAATCTAAAAACGGAAGAAAGCTATTTCCTGTTTGAAAAATGTTCTAATCTAGAACTTGCTTCCGCCCCTCGTCTTTCTGCTTCTTAGCGGCAAGCTTAAGGTTTTATAGTGGTAAATTCAAGGTTAGATCCCTGCAGTGGGCACAACTCATATTATACATAGTACATGCAATTTTACGTTTAGAAACAAACAACCCGCTTGTTTTAACAAACTCAGATTATACATAGTACATGCAACTTTACGTTTAGAAACAAACAACCCGCTTGTTTTAACAAACTCAGATTATACATAGTACATGCAACTTTACGTTTAGAAACAAACAACCCGCTTGTTTTAACAAACTCAGATTATACATAGTACATGCAACTTTACGTTTAGAAACAAACAACCCGCTTGTTTTAACAAACTCAGATTATACATAGTACATGCAACTTTGCGTTTAGAAACAAACAACCCGCTTGTTTTAACACGAATCTTATTAGTAATCAGCTTGAGTTATAAATCAGTAAAAATCTGAATCAACCGATTGGTGGCATGGCCTAGTGGATACGGCATACGACTCGTAGTCTGTGGGTGGCGGGATCAAATTCCGTTAAGTAAGCAGCTAGAGTTATAAATCGTAAAATCTGAATCAACCGATTGGTGGCATGGCCTAGTGGAGCATAGACTGTATAAATGCCTAGAGTAAAAATCTGAATCAACTGATTGGTGGCATGGCCTAGTGGATACGGCATACGACTAGTAGTCTGTGGGTCGCGGGATCAAATCCCGTTATCGAACCTACTAGCATTTTTAGCCGTTGGGGTGATATAATGTGACGGTCAATCCTACTATTTAATTAGAGTTGACGATGGGTGGTTTTGACTAGCTGACTTCACTCTAGTCTCTCTTCTAGATCAGGAACGGCTAGTGTAGTATAGCCCTAGTATCTTTATCAAAATTAATCAAAACAGTCAACTTTTTTTTTTGTCTTAGATAAGTGGCAGCAGCACTCGTCAAATTCGACAGTTGGAGGAAATGAAACCACTTTTATTGTACTAAACTTACTTCCTTTCACGACTTATGCCTTTCGAGTATTTGCTGCCAACAGGCTAGGAACAAGTCAAGCTAGTCAAGTGGTACATGTTAAAACAAATGAAGAAGGTAATATATATATATTTATCAAATCCTTCTGAAAATAAAAAGAAAGAAAATGGTGGTAAAAAAAAAATACTTCTAGTTATATATCCCTTATTGAAGTTTTCAATAATTCGACTTACCATTTTTAATTTTTCAATAAACTTATGTATGAATGGGCTTTGAATGACGTCACTGCATTATTACTTTAGCAGTTTAAAAACTAGGTTTTCCGTACAGTATATGAATAAGATTTCGAAATATGTAGAGTTATACCAGGAGCAGAAGGAGTAATCTAAATATTTTAGTAAAAGAAAATCAGAAAATAAAGAAACTTTCAGTCCTAGGGACAATATAGTGACCCTATCTATATGCATATCTTTTTTATTACAGCATTGAAAGGTTTAGTCTTCTTTAAACACTTCAAAAGAAACACATAAAGGTGAAATTAAAAATTTGCATTACTTATATTCCCATATATTTATTTAATGACACAAAAAACATATAAGTAAAGGAAACAAGTGTAATAATCGGTGAGTGTTACGTTGTATGTAGTACACATATTTTATGTAATCATACTTTAGCTCCTGGAGGACCCCCTGTTCATGTTGAAGCTCAAGCTACTGGTGCCCAGTCAATAAAAGTAATGTGGAAGGTAGGAACATTAATAAACCATTTTTGCCTTCAAGTAGCATAGCAAACAAAAACTACTATTTATGTATAAAAAAGGTATAATTATATCTTTATAGAAATCAGGAAGAAATATTAACAAATCTAGAAATAGAAGAAGATATGAAGACAGTGAATTTGGATGCATTTCTTTTGGTATGATTGAAAAAAATTGTTTTTTTTATAAAGTTTGTTTGCTTTTAATTAATTACAAAGCTACACAATGGGATATCTGTGCTGTGTCTATAACGGGTATCGAAACCCGAGTTTTAGCATTATGAGCTCACAGATTTACCGCTGAACGACTGAACATTTAAAATTTGATAACGAAATTTATTTTATTTATTGTTAAACACAGAGCTACGCAATGGGCTATCTGTTCAATGCCCACAACTCGGTTCTTAGAATAACTTGATCAGATTAGCTGACTGCACTTCATGATTGCGTTGAAAGCTCCATTCAGAAACAGAAAAGGTTTGATCATTTCAAATGTACTACTCTAAACCTGTGTAAAGATGAAACTATATCTCCAGAGGAAAGGTATATATTCTACCTGATCTATGTTTTTAAAATTTTGAGTCAGTAACTTTACTTCCAAGAATACGATTAGTGATAATAAAATGATTAAATGATTTGTAAACTCCAATGTTAACTATGAAAACACATACGTCTCGAATATGTAAGCAAGATCTCATTCCATACATTTCTATCAGCGCAGCAATATTCAAAAAGTCATGCTATAGCACTCTGTTTGTGGCTATCCTAACTTGTGACCAAATCAAAACCAAATATAACAGGCCTACACCATTACACTACAACCTCGCATGGCTCTCGCGATCTGCGGGTCGCGAGTTAGAATACTGTCACTCTTCCAGCTGTGGAGTCATTATAATGTAACAGTCAATCCAACTATTCGCTGTTAAACAGCAGCCAAAGAGTTGGCTGTGGGGGCATTATATTGTAACTGTCAATCCAACTACTCGTTGTTAAAGAGTTGGCTGTGGGGGCGTTATATTGTAACAGTCAATCCAACTATTCATTGTTAAAGAGTTGGCTGTGGGGGCGTTATAATGTACAGTCAATCCAAAAGCCAAAGAGTTGGCTGTGGGGGGGGATTATATTGTAACAGTCAATCCAACTTTTCACTGTTAAAGAATAGCCAAAGAGTTGGCTGCGGGGGCGTTATAATGCAACAGTTAATCCAACTATTCTTTGTTAAAAAGTAGGCAAAGAGTTGGCTGTGGATGGTTTTGTCTAGCTGCTTTCACTCTAGCTTATTACTTCTAAATAAGGGCCGACTAGAGCAAATATCCCTCGAGTAGCTTGGAAAGAAATTCCAAAAACAAACCATTATACTATCTCAATCATTCTTCATATTGGGAAAACGTAATCGTATTCAAACCTAGACCTGTCTAGCCGAAACAGACAATGAATAGTAGGATTCCACTCTTGGGTTTCTATTGTTCTTCATCATAATTTTGACACTGAATACAATATTCCAAGCCTGAAGTTTCCTGCAAACTTTGGATATGATGGTCTGCAGCCGTTGAACCTTCGTTCTTTTGTTACGTAGTGTATTTAATATTAAATCTATGGTTCCATTTCACAACGTTGACCGAGATGAGATTGAATAGGGGTAGCCAGAATAACTTGCTATTCTAGCAAGTCATTGATCTTCTTGATATTCGGAACATTACCCATGATCTTCCTGATCTTTAGGACATTACCCATGATGTTCTTGATCTTCAGAACATTACATATGATGTTCTTGATCTTCGGGACATTACCCATTATCTTCCTGATCTTTGGGACATTACCCATGATCTTCCTGATCTTTGGAACATTACCCATGATGTTTCTGATCTTCAGGACATTACCCATGATCTTCCTGATCTTTGGAACATTACCCATTATCTTCCTGATTTTCATAATATTACCCATGATATTCCTGATCTCCGGGACATTACTCATGACATTTCTAACCTTTGGTACATTATCCATGATCTTCCTGATCCTCAGGACATTACCCACAGTGAATATACGTAGAAATAGGCAGGCTAAAACGTCTCGGACATTCATTCTAAATATCCATGCTGCGTCCAAAAACCTCTTTGAAGGCCCATAAGCTCTATACTTCATAACATCTTAACACCAACCGTTGAGAATTATAAACCTTCTACAGCAACGCATCATGAAATTCACATGTATATTTAGTGGAGATGAATTTTTTGCCAAATAGGTTTGCACTTCTCCATATAACATGGCTCACCCAGCATGCTCTGTAAGAGAACTTGGTGAGTGTAAATATTGAAATACGTCATAAAAGTAGGTTAGTATTGATACATAAGCCAGATGTCAAAGCGTTGTGCTTGAAGTATAGAAACTGATATACTAATTGATTAAAGTAATTAGTAACTTGCTGGTATTGAGAACTTAATAGTAAATTGAAAAACAAAAACTTATGAAAGCATGCTAACAGCTATAGTTTCAAAAATTACACAGACTTTTCTGCATCATTTACGGCTATATGTAACTAGCCAACACTAGCATCCGTGTAGGATGCTGTGCTGTACCCGATTGTGGGCATTTTGTAAGTGCAAACAGTGCATCACTTACTATTTCAGATGTCTCACAGAATTATCCAAGCCAAAGGTCGTACTACTATTAACACCCTAGTAACTAGATCCATCCCCACCCCACCATCCTTGGGTGTATTTTGTAGTGTACATGGTGAGTGTTTTAACATGTGTGGCAACTCAGGTGATTTGATTTGTAGAAGTGGCTTAATATAAGACAAAACTATTAGTTCACTTGTAGTCACAGCAGCACAGCGGTATTTCTGCGGACTTACAACGCTAGAAACCGGGTTTCGATACCCGTGGTTGGCAGAGCACAGATAGCCAATTGTGTAGCTTTGTGCTTAATTAAAAACAAACAAACTTGTAGTCAGAGTTACAGATTTATTTAATTTCGAATTTTCGGACTATGAGTAACTCATCGTCTCCCTGTGGGACAGCGGTCAGTTTACGGGATTCGATTTCCCGAGATGGACACAGCAGATAGCCCAATTTGGCTTTGCACTAAAACAAACAAGTGAATGAATAACTTGAGAATTAACGAAGTCAACAATGTAAACGCTATATTTAAAAGACAACACATAATTTTGGTCTAGGTTATCAAGGTGTAGCAGGGGCTTCCCACTTTTCAATATTTCCCAGTAAAAATGCATCAAAATTAGGAAAGTTACTCTCAGGAAAATCAGGAGAATGCATAAAATTTAATCCAGAATCCAATAGCTTCTAGGACCCTAAGGCGAGTCCTGGACTCCGGTCATAATGGGTTTGCCTGTGGCGTGCATACCCTCTCTTCGCTCGGTAAAATAAACCTTGTATCCCCTCACTTTTAATTTGCTTCCTACACCTCCGTGTAGCTTACAAGCCTGGTCAGTATAGCTCAAAGTAAGATGAATCCTGGATTTAAGCGCGTGTACACATGTGTTTTAATTCTATCTCTCGGAATAATAAAACTAGATAGCATATATAAGTAAAGGGATGTATTTTTCTGTTGTTGTTGTTGTTTTTTAAGTTGTATTGTTGTTGTTTTTCTCAGATACAAATTTTCGATTCACTTACATTTTTATTGATTTTACCAGTCTCCAGAGGAGCACCTTCATTATGGAACCATAAGAGGTTATTACGTTGGATATAAGTTAGCAGGATCTGTGGACACCTACGTCTATCAGACATTAAAAGTCAAAGACTTGGGGTTTCAAGAAGAAAGTCATCTAACGAACCTAAGACGTTATACAAAATATGCTATTGTTGTTCAAGCATTTAACGACAAAGGTACAGGTCCGGCTTCAGAAGAAACGACAGTACGAACTTTAGAAAATGGTAATCTATATATATATATGTATTGGATAACTCAGACTAAGACAGTGGAGTGATTTTAACATAACTTATTTAATAACACGTACGTGAAACAGTTGCAGCAAGTTTACTATATCAGGCTTCAACATGCCTCATAACTTTTCAAGGCCCGGCATGGCCTGGTGGTAAGGGCGCTCGACTCGCAATCTGAGGGTCGCGGGTTCGAATCCCCGTCGCACCAAACATGCTCGCCCTTTCAGCCATGGGGGCGTTATAATGTGACGGTCAATCCCACTATTCGTTGGTAAAAGAGTAGCCCAAGAGTTGGCGGTGGGTGGTGTTGACCTGCTGCCTTCCCTCTAGTCTTACACTGCAAAATTAGGGACGGCTAGCGCAAATAGCCCTCGTGTAGCTTTGCGCGATATTCAAAAACAAACAATAACTTTTCGGTTTAATTCTTGGTACTTCAAAGATACTTCAATCGCTACTGACGCCTTAGTTCAATTGAAAATTATGTTATTTTTCAGAATAGTCTGTATCTGTTTAACTTATTTTCAGATTTATAATAATTCAGTGAAAATATCTTAGGATTGAATCAAAACAAATAAACTACCCCTATTTCACTTTTTTACAACTCAATTTCGTGCACATTTTCTAGAATACTGAACAAGAAAACGTACCATTGTTACCAGTTGCCGGGCTTTTGTAACGAAAATGATGAACTTTCCTATCATATTTACTTACACGCTTGTCCTCCTTCAGGCTCTAAGAATAGCAAGGTTCGATTTTATGAGCCCAAGATCAAGAGATATTTGATATGTCAAAGCTTAGTTCTTATTCCTGCAGGCATTTTCCAACGTAATTGCTTTTTGTTTTTCGTGAGGAAAAGAATAAAAAAGAAATATTATGAGGACATTCTTCAGAAACAACATGTTACCTTCCTGTACTATGTCTCTTTAAATTATTATGTGCCTCTATTTACATTGCGAGAAAGCTTGTCCAATTTTAGAAGCTATTGGATTTTTTTTTGTCTGCCTGTCTTCAGTTCAATGATATTATTGAGAAGATTTTCTTTCTTTTTTTTTTAATTTTCTGTAAGATCATACATGAAATTAACATCTGAATGAGTGTGTGTGTGTGTGTGTATGGAAGAATAATTTATTTCCACAATTTTTTACCAATACGTTCGGGAGTTTAACTCATCTGTAAACAAGCTTTCTTACCTATTTGTTTCTTCATCACTGACGTTGCCAAGCGACTTATAGTTGCGGCAATCATAACACTCGCACTTCATTGCCTCTTTGGCCGTCTGTTTTCATATGAACGCGCCCCCTAGTGTCACAGCGGTATTTCTGCGGACTTACAACGCTAAAAACCTGGTTTCGATACCCGTGGTGGGCAGAGCACATATAGCCCTTTGTGTAGCTTTGTGCTTAACTTCAAACAAACAAACATATGAACAATTCCCCTGCCTCTTTTTCATTCTGTTTCAGACAGGTCATCTTTATTTTTATTACGAGTTTAATCGTGACCTTGCTTTTATTCAGCTGAGTATTATGAATAGCCTTAATCACGTATTCTAGGCTAATTTTTTTTTTTTAATCATTTTACAAACTGATAGTACTTCTACAGTTATGACAGCTGAATGAGTCCTCGTATTCGGTCTCCCGGTGGGACAACTTACAGACTTACAACGCTAAAAATCAGGGATTCGATTCCCCGCGATGGATACAACAAACAAACCTCTTATTTGATCAGTGAACTCTTGACTTCAGTTTTTTTTCTATTCACTGGAAATATAGTAGTTGAACGAAAAAAGTGTTGTTTACTATTTCACTTTGTGTGAATGTTAAACAATTGTGTTTATTCTAAAGTTGCGTAACGATTCTATTAGGTTTTGCTCTGTTCTTGACTTGTTCTCAGAAGAAATGGTTTTCTCTTATATAACGATATCATTTGCACATTCTCTTGTGTAGTAAGAACTTTTCTGAAGAAGTGAGAATTGAGCCGGTAAAGATTTGAACTTGTGACTCTGCTTACCGCCCCCCCTCCCCCAGGTACTCAGCGGTGAGTCTGAAGAGTTGTAACTCTTTCGATACTCGTGGTGGGCACAGCACAGATAGTCCATTGGGTAGCTTTGCGCTTAACAACAAACAAACAGACTCTGCTTACCAGGCAGTTGTTTTAACCAACCCGGCTGTTTCATCTCCAAAGACACAAATTTCAGTTTTCGGTTCATGGGTTATTGACGTCGAAATTCGGAAGGGCTCTTAAGTGCCTTTTTTGGAAATTGCCATTCGAGGTGCGGTAATTTAATTGGCTAAATGTTCTGCAAAGTCACTGGTTGTTCAAATTCGGCCCGGTCTCGATTTTAACTTCAGAAAAATTCTGTCACAACAATGGTCTGAATCTTCTCATTTTTGTTTCCTTTTACACACTACTGACCCTATTCACTTTTTAACCGTCTAGCTTGACCATTGTAATTTATATATATAATGTATAAAAAATTTCTCCCTTCGATGGTTAGTATTCCTAATTGTGGAGCTGAAGTTACTTGTTTTGCGTCCCGTTATCGCCAAAAAGAATCGCGGTCCGCACTATGGTGCAGTGGAAGCATTATAAGAAAGACAGCCAATTCCTGCTATTCGGTCTGACAAGAGTAGCCCAAGAGTTGGCGGTGGTCGATGTTCACCTTTCCTCTAGCGTAGGCCTGGCATGGTCAAGTAGTTAGGGCGCTTGACTCGCAATCTGAAGGTCGCGGGTTCGAATCCCCGTTCCACCAAATATGCTCGCCCTTTCAGTCGTGGGAGCGTTATAATGTGACGGCCAATTCCACTATTCGTTGATTAAAGAGTAGCCCAAGAGTTGGCAGTGGGTGATGATGACTAGCTGCCTTCCCTCTAGTCTTTCACTGCTAAATTAGGAACGGCTAGCGCAGATGTGTGGATGGTTAGCGCAGATAGCTCTCGTGCAGCTTTGCGCAAAATCCAACAAACAAACCGGTCATCCTTTTTTATAGTTAAGTAACTTCACATCAAACTAGGGTCACGTTACTCTCAAAATTATTCCATCATGGGCAAAAAGACAAGCTATATTGATTTTCAAGCAAGGTTGCTGTACAGCGTCATCTACATATCTATAAGTGCATTTCACTATATTTCTTTGATAAAGTTATTTATGTCCATAACTGAAAGTAAGTTTCACAAGTGTTTAGAGTTAAATTAATATTAAAATTTCGTGTCATCATTTGAAACGTGAGTGTTAACTTTAAGGTTCATTTTAGCTTTGTGAAGTTCTGTCAATGGCGTATCTCTGTGAAAAGGGTTATACCTATGAAATGATATTCGAGAAACCGTGTGTTTGATGAAATAAAATTATTGCTTATTTTTCGTTGTACTTTTATTTTGTTAAACGTACTATATCCTGAAACGTTTTCTGAGTTATCATCAGACGTTCTGAAACAAGTGGTTTGGTGATTTTTTCAGATCCCCCATTCCAACCATCTTTAAAACTATTAGCTACCACATCGTCTACAGTTCAGTTTTTCGTGATGAGCAAAGACCGTTTGACAAATAACGCGTTATCAGGTGAATTCTTGGTTTTATTTAACTCTATTTTTTCTGTTAGTAACTTTGTGTTTTTTATATATGTACAGTGTTTTTTTAATTAAATTAATCACAAATATTTGAATACAATTTATTGAACAGAAACCCCCGATATTAAATAGGTGATTGTGGTGTTTGTCATCTACCATCTGAAAAATAGAATCCTTCAAATGTTTGTACTGTCCAATAAGCCACATATAACATACATTTTGGCATGAAATGGTAAGTAACATAAGCAAAAGTTAAAATAAAAAGAAATCACCAACTAAATATTCATTTCTTTGTAGCACAGTTATACTCCCATAAATAGTGAAAACTGCATTAATCTAAAAAAATGTTCCCCTCCCGGTAGGTCAGCGGTAAGTTTACGGATGTACAACACTAAAATCCGAGGTTCGATTCCTCGCAATGTACAGAGCGCAGATAAGGCCATTGTGTAGCTTTGCCCCAGAACAAAAACATAATGCAAAACTATTACACTCAGAAATAATTTCTTAAGAACACGAAAAGTTCATCATTAAGAACTTCTGATCAAAAATAAGCAAACACCGTATATATGAAAACAAAAGTATATTTCCAAATTAACATGAATTAATGAGCACGGACTAAATCTTATAAATAAATTCTTGAAAGAGGTAAATATACAATTATTGGAATACATTAAATCATCAGATGGGGAACCTCGCTGTAAGCAATATTTTTGTCCTTAATACCAATGATATATCAAAAGGTTTGACCGATTTTGTAGCCTTAGGTTAATTCTAAACAAATATACTACATAAACAAAACAAAATAAATTATTTTAAAAATGTCTAATATTAGTTCGAAAATTATTTTAAATAATACAACCACAAGTAGTTATTGAAATTAATTATAAAAATATTGTTAATATGAACGTGATTTAGTTCTTTGTCAGAGGTTTTTATGACAATAACCTTGTTGGCTCGTTCATCTTAAATGCTCATAGTTCATATGCAAATTTATTTAAGAAGGCGTGTTAGGCAGCAAAACCTATTTCAAAACAATATAGAAATACAACTGACCGACACTTTAACATAATCCTAACTGGATCAATAAATTATATTACTTGAAACTGCAGTCGTCAGATAGTTATGGTTTAGGATTCCGATTTCCAGCCTCCCCCACCCCACCCCATTGGTTCAGTGGCAAGTCTGAAGCCTTATAACACTAAAAACTGGGTATCGATAGGCATAGCACAGGTAACCCATTGCGTAGCTTTGCTCTTAACAACAACAAACAAACAAATCGAATTTCAAACTGACCTCTTACGTACTATAATTTAAGAAATATCAAACAGAGTACGATTATTTGGCCATCCAACAGTTATAACGACACCATGATGCAATTAATACAAGTTTGGGTCTTGAAATATTTGCATCGCCACAGTACTCAAGTCACGGGTGATGTGAAAAAAAAATCGAATGTTTGACAGTTTAAATACTAGTTATGAACAATAATCTGAGCTAATAGTAATATTGGTGTAGAACTTCCAATCCCAGGTCATTATTACATAATTGTTGGACATAAGATTTATATTGTTCACGTGTATATATTACATAATTGTTGGACATAAGATTTCTATTCCTCACGTGTATTTATTGCATGATTGCTGCATCCACATAAGGTTTATATTGTTCACGTGTAAAATATTACATAATTGTTGCATGCATATAAGGTTTATATTGTTCACGTGTATATATTACATAATTGTTGGACATAATATTTCTATTCTTCACGTGTATTTATTACATAATTGTTGCATCCACATAAGGTTTATATTGTTCACGTGTAAAATATTGCATAATTGTTGCATGCACATAAGGTTTATATTGTTCACGTGTATATATTATATAATTGTTGGACATAAGATTTCTATTCTTCACGTGTATTTATTGCATTATTGCTGCATCCACATAAGGTTTATATTGTTCACTTGTATATATTGCATAATTGTTGCATGCACATAAGGTTTATATTGTTCACGTGTATATATTGCATACTTGTTGCATGCACATAAGGTTTCTATTCTTCACGTGTATGTATTACATAATTGTTGGACATAAGGTTTATATTGTTCACGTGTATATATTACATAATTGTTGGACATAAGGTTTATATTGTTCACGTGTATTTATTGCATAATTGTTGCATGCACATAAGGTTTATATTGTTCACGTGTATATATTACATAATTGTTGGACATAAGATTTCTATTCTTCACGTGTATTTATTGCATTATTGCTGCATCCACATAAGGTTTATATTGTTCACGTGTATATATTACATAATTGTTGCATGCACATAAGGTTTATATTGTTCACGTGTATATATTGCATACTTGTTGCATGCACATAAGGTTTCTATTCTTCACGTGTATGTATTACATAATTGTGGGACATAAGGTTTCTATTCTTCACGTGTATTTATTACGTGATTGTTGCATATGCACATAAGGTTTACATTGCTCACATTTTTGATGTGAATCTTTCAGGATTCTTTCTCTACTACAAAGAGGACAGAACAGATTGGAGTAAAGTAAGAATTCCTCCTGACACCAGTGAGTACAAAGTCACAAATCTAAAATGTGGTACTCGATACCAGTTTTATATAGAAGCCTTTAACTCCGCAGGAAAAGGAGAACCGAGCAAAACTCTTACAGTTAAAACCAAAGGAATGGGTAAGTTATGATCTTTAAAAAATATGTTTACAATGTCACGAGTGATGTACCTAAGAGTTTCTGATGTACATAAATAAACATTATTAAGAAAAATAACAACACTTAGAGTCAGTGATTTATTAGAAAATTACAAAAACAAATATAATATTCTCCTTAAGGTCAGTTACGAATACATGTAAAATATCATCAAAAACGCATGCGTGAAAACTGATGATACAAAATTTTTATATACAAGGTGTTCCAAAATTATTTTCCCTATTTTAAAATTTAATAATTAAATAACTAAAAAAAATAAAACCATGCAGTTTTCAACACCTTGAAACCCAAGTCAAACAGTTTTATTGACGTGTCAGTAGACTTCTACGTGTGCGCCATTAGTGGCTCTCAGCACATCTAACCGATATTCGATTTCAGCCAATGTTTGCTGCAACGTGTCCACAGTTACAGTGGCGATGGCATTCATTTTCCTGGTCTTTAGCTCCGTGATGTGCAGTACACATACCCTTAACATACCCCCAAAAAAAGAACTCCAATGGAGTGATGTCTTTTTCTTGCACAGTTGCCATTTTATGGGGTAACACTACTCATTTGAATGAAAAACAAACATTACCATAAAAACCTTTTGAGTTGGGCTACAAGATGTTGAAAACTTCATGGTTGTATTTCTTTAGTAATTCAATTATTAAATTTTCAAATAAGAAGTGTTACTATATACTTGAAAATGATTTTTAAAAAAATTATGGGCCCTTTGTTTCATGCAGTTGACTGTGAATTATACTTAAAAAACACATTCAATAACATAAGATATTGTTATCCAATCTACTTTAAGAGAAATTCGTTTAATTTGTGTTTTATTTTTTAAATGGACCTATCTCTATTTGTCACTTGTCAGAATGATTTTTACAAACTCCCTATGTGTTTCACCAGTTATCTTGATGTTTTTATGCTATCTCATGTTTGTTTTTTTGTCACGTGTCCATTTGATTTGTGTTAACTTTGTGCTTTTTTTCTACACATTATGATGATACTTGCTCATCTTCTTGGCTATAAAAATGATTTCTGTTAACTCTGTGTTTGAGTTAACTCCATTTATATAAGGGTGGTTTATATCTGTTGTTGTTGGGTTTTTTTCAAACACCACAGCGACCTCTACTAACCTCGTGTGTGTAAAATTAACATATGTAAAGCCCTGTCTTTGTCTCATATCAGTGAGGTTTGATAACTTCTTATTGGTTAGCTTGGTTTCTGCTAACTCCCTGTGATCTGTTACATATTAGTACGATCTCATGTTAACTACAATTCTGTCAGGATTACTTCTGATAACACTCTGTTTGTGTTTTGTCTACTTTCAGATTGATGGTTTATTTTCATTATATAACTCTCGATCCTCTTTGTCTACTGTCAGATTAATCGTTTATTTCTGCTATATAACTCCCTATCCATCTTTGTCTACTGTCAGATTAATCATTTATTTCTGCTATATAACTCCCTATCCATCTTTGTCTACTGTCAGATTAATCATTTATTTCTACTATATAACTCCCTATCCATCTTTGTCTAATGTTAGAGTGCTTTCAGTTAATTCCATGTTTGTCAGAGTTATTTCTCATAACTGTTTGTCTGTGTTTGTCTAATATCAAAGTGATGTGCTATTTCTACTGTATAACTTCCTGTCTGACTTTGTTTAATGACCGAGTGCTTTGAGCGTGATTTATGTTAACTATTTGTCTTAGTTTAGTTTATCACGTGTCCGAATGGTTTCTGTTAACTCTCCGTCTTCTGGGTTGATCAGTTAACTCCCTGTCTGACTTTGTCATGTATAAAAGTGATTTCTGTTAACTCCACATCTGCCAAGTTGGCTTCTCCTAAATTATCTTCTACATTAGAAATATATTAACCTCGTCAAAATAAAATAAGCCTTTTTATTGGTCTTATAGCTATCATCTCGAGTCATTATTCTGCTTTTTATTAACTGAGATTAAGATATTTGAATTTAATTTTGACTTTTGTTGTGACAACGTTGATCAATTTGCAAGAAACGAAACTTGTATAAACATATTGAGGAAAAGATAACCATGTGTACATGTTATTTACACTGTAAAGAAATAACAGTATGGTGTAGGAGAAGTACGGCAAGTATTGTAGTATACAGAAACTTTAATATACTGCAGTAGGAATATTCAAGTATTGTAGTATACAGAAACGTTAATATATTGCAATAGTAATGTTCATGTATTGTAATGTACAGAAACGATAATATATTGCAATAGTAATGTTCATATATTGTAATGTACAGAAACGATAATATATTGCAATAGTAATGTTCATGTATTGTAATGTACAGAAACGTTAATATATTGCAATAGTAATGTTCATATATTGTAATGTGCAGAAACTTTAATATACTGCGATAGGAATGTTCAAACATTTCAGCTCTTTGCAAATCTGGAGTGTACAGTCTCACGTCTATAGGAAAATAACTTAATGACAAATATCTGTTTACAGCTCCAATAGCTCCAAGTAAACAATTACTTCTCTCGGTAAACTCCACCTGGGTTAACATCCACCTAGCGACCTGGGACGACGGGGGCTGTCCCATTAGTTACTTCTCTCTCCGATATAAAGTTGAAACGGATAACACGTGGAGGATTCTTTCTGACCACGTTGATCCTTTACGAAAGGGACATAGTGTTATCAAATCTCTCCTACCTGACTCGCTACCGTTTGCAGGTTACTGCTAAAAGTCCCGCGGGAATCACAGAGGCTGAATATGGATTTTTAACTCTGCCAGTTTCTTCAGGTAATCCAGGAACTTTTTTCTTCCATAAAATGAAATTACAAGAAAAGATTTTAAATTTTTAAGTCGTACCATAAATAAAATATTGTAATATTGACTAGGTCTAAAACTCTTGTTGTATTATTGTTAAAAGCTGTTTTTGTGGAAAGAAAACGTTACCTATTGGCTAGAGATGTTTGACCGAAAATGTTCCTGTATTATTAAAACTTTTCCTAGAAAGTAAACTTTACCTATTTAAATAATTCCAAATTTTGATATTAGAATGTGAATGGCTGTAGAGCGATTATCTATCAAAAATGTTTTGAATGTTATATTTTATTCGGAAAATTCGTCGCTTGTTATGACCTACCTATAAATATAAACCAACCTTTTAGAAATCGTCAATATGGTCTATTTCTTAGAACAAAACGTTCTAACGTGGCTTATTATTTAATTTAGCTATGTTAGTTTCACAAAAGTTTATTTTCAGATTTTTTTAAATGTTTCTGTTTGAATGATAGTGAATTCAATATGTCTCCCAGTGGGACAGCAGTAAATTTACGGATCACACTGCTAAAGACCTGGGTTCGATTCCCCACAGTTGACACAGAAGATTACCCAATGTAGCTTTACTCTAAGACCAACAAACAAAATAAACTAATGCAGTATTATCAGTGGTTAAACTTATTTAATAATAATAAAACTGTCAAATACTATAGAATTATCAAACACCTCGAGTTATGCAACTGGTAAAAGGTGAGAGCTACACAAATCTATACACGGACAAATCTAACGTTAAACAGGCCTGTACTGTCACTGCGTCAGTTTTACCAACAGGAGATGTTTAACTCTAGTTTTTTTTTTTACCATCGCTGGATGCTTCCTCGAGATTGCTGTTGCGATGTGTTTTTGTAATCAGCTCATTATGCGCCTACACTCGTGCAGACAAAGCCCTTCCGTTGTTGAATTGGATTAGCAAGAATCAACGAACTGCATCGCACTAGTTCGAATTTAATCGTTATTTGGACACACGGTTATCGTTACGAATAAGCTTGACTCCTTTTTCACGTTTATCACCATTTATTAACAGGGGCGATATTTTGGGATTCTATTAGCAAAATTAAAATTTAATAGGGCATTTCAATCAGATTCTTCCAGGACAACAGTATTTCAGGATGTTTGATAAGTTATTATTTTGTTCTTAAAATAATACCTGCAGTTGATTAGGGAATCGATTCGTTTGTGCAGCTCCAGTGATAAAGGAATTTCTGAAGTGATGCATCACAAGTGTTTTTTTTTTAAAGTAGCATAAAAAAGGTCCCTTAGTTGATTTCTGTGTTTCTGTTTCTTTTCCTTTTTTGTTTTTGATACGCATTAATTTCCTGTCTGAGTATATAAACAAAATACTTGAATTATATGTTTATTTACGTGTTTTATCTTCCACTCATGGGCAAAAAATAGGCTCAGCTGCTCCAGCGGAAATCATGGAAAAGGAACATATCCCACTGTACCTTGATCTCAACATTATTTTACCAGTAAGCGTGTCCTTAATGGTGGTTGTCATTATTATTACCACAGTCTACGTCATTTTGCGAAGACAATATCCTCATGAGGGCTCTAATAGTGGTAAGTTGGTAAATCAAAATAACTTCCAATCAGAGTAACTTATGTACTTAAAGCGAAAATAAAAATCAACCTGGCCAATAATATAACAAATCAATATATAATTTTCTTAAGTTTCTACTTAGATTAGATTAGAATGCATTGTTTCATCAGTTGGATACACTCTCATTTCACAATATTTTTGGCCGTAAACCCAATATACCTCAAGAGGTTCGGCCAACTTAGAAGATTTAGGTTAGTTATAAACCCACATATTACGCTAATAATGCTAAATAATAAACTACAAATGAAAATAAAAAGTAATTCCATTCGATATACTAACTAGTAAAACCAATATTATTAATGAAAGTAATAAAAAATGTAACATAATTTACTTGGGGAACCCACAAACACTAGTTCTTGTCTTTAACTATATTCACAAGCTAGTCTGGTTCTCTTGATTAATAAAAGCTTTTCACGATTCACAGCTTTAACCTCACGAATGAAACATTTATTGATAAGAATTTATTTCTAGCTACCTGCGTATAATTGTCCCTAATTCTGGGCTTATAGGCCAGAGAGGATGAAGCTAGCTAACAGCTCCCACCGCAAACCCTTGGACTACTCCTATATGATCAAATAATGAGGTTTCGCCCTCACTCTTATATCACACCCTTGGGTTCACAGTCTGAGTACCCTAATCAGTAGGCCATACCCAGTCCCATTTCATTTTTCACCAATAAATCATAGTCTTATTCACTCATACACGAAGGATAATAGACAAAAACTACAAGTAAACAAACCATTAAACAATACAAAATATATGGGAAACATTTTAAATGTATTCGATCTTCTAAGCCTCATTCACGTGTTTTTTAAGCCTATCATTGGTTCCGAATGTAAAATGATGGAATAATTTACCGCCACTACATAGCAAAAAGTAAAGGTAGAAAGCTCTGAGAATAAATTAAATTTGTTTGTACAATTTCGCTGCTTGACAAAATATCTGATATAAAAATCAGAGTAAATACTGTAATGCAAAATGCTTCCATAACATCATGACTCTGTAGTGACTCTAGTTAAAATATCTCGTCTTACTGTAGTTAGAAAATGCTTGCACTCTTTTATATGGTTTGAGCGTAGCATAGCAGTTAACGAATCGGGCTGTGGGTTTGATGGTCTCGGCTTCGAGACACGCATCGCAATTTCAGCTAAGGATGCGTCATAAGAGTGACAGTGAATTCCTCTATTCAGAGTAACTACTTCATGTGAGCGGTGCTGCGACTAGTTGCCTTCCTTATGGATAGCTATGCCTGTACTAAAGGGTTCTCTAACCTGTCAATTGAGTCAACTACGTGCATAATGCGTCGTTCAGATAAACAAACAGTCATTATGTGCATATAATTTACTTACTAAAATGTTAAATCAACATTGTTTTTACATATGATTGGCGTTAAGATTAGGTATCCAATACAGTGTACAGAAGAATAAGTAAGCATTTGGTTAAGCTTTGAATATTATTATTTAGTTCCATACGTTCTGATCTTATGTGCAATGATGTCTCTGAAATGTATAAAATCTCAGACAACAGGTGGCAGCACATGATAAGACTGGTGATTACGATGTTTATGAAATTGTAATAGTTAGTATTAATATTTTGAAAATTAGTTTTTATGATAGCTGTATATTTAAAGTTTCAATTTATAGTAATGCAAATTAATATAAACTATTTACATATTGTGTATTCAGGTGGTTCAATTAAACAGTTCTTTATCTTTACTTGTTTCGTAGGGTCATAAGTTTAACATAACAGTATTCACTTCTTATAGTGGGACATAAATTTAGCATCATGGTCGTCACTTGGAGTTGTGACACATTATATTCTTGTCGTCACTTGGACACGTTATATTGCTGATATTTTACATAGCTGTTGGATTGTTGGTACTTCTCCAAATTTCTTTTAGATTACATCCCTAAAATCTCATCATCGAGTTACAACCATTCGTTTACTATGTACATTTTTTATAAGAGCTACTGTCTAACCAAAGAAACCTTCACCAGTTCTTTGGGCATCTGCTTCTCTCTTTAAAACTGGGGGAAAACTCGTGCTTCGAGTACGAAACGTATCTGTTGTTGTTGCGGTATTTTGTATTTGAATAAACAAAGTTTATAAAATGTAAAGGCAGTTAGTTCTGTGTAGTTAAAGTAATTAAAACAGTTAATTGACCTGCCTAGATTACTCACGTATGAGATTAGTTACGTATAATTCTAAAAGAAACTGACGGCCGTGCGGGGCGTGTCAATGACTGCGAGGTTAAACTTAAGTGAGTTAAACCTATTCCATAACGCGTGATACTCACGAAAAACTTCTAGTACAGTAGACACTTTGAGTCGAATGGTGTGATCAAAAATGACAAACCGATCGACATATCTAATAAGAGACATCAGATCTAAGGACGCTTTCAAAATCTGGGTATCAGGAGCAAGTATTAATAGTATTCAACAGGATATTATAACTCTCTGTCAGAAACAGGGCTATATATAATTCATAATTAAAACTACAAAAGCATATCAAACCTAGATCCTGTGTAATTTTTTTTATGAAACTGTAAATTGGGATTTATTATTATTATCAGATGGGATATTAAAAAAAAAGTAATTTTACTGCCATATCAGAAGATATATTTCTTTGAACTATTCATATTTAAGTCTGTTTACACTACTGTAACATAGATTTGTCGATAAAAATGTGATAAGGCTCAGGGTTTTTGACCCTACTGTATACATATATAATTTCTTTGGGTATTAAAGTTATTTGTGCTGACACCTTTGAGTTGGATAACCAGCTCATTTCCAAACCACACATATACTTATTTTATGTAGACAGATATACCTTCAATGTTTGAAATGTATTATTCAAGTTACTGATTGAAAAACCATTAAATACATAGCTGCCACACGTGTGATTGTGTGTTTTTTCTCTAATTCACTATTAACGTACCCTGATGACTCAGTGAGAAGCTTATGGGCACATAACGTTAAAATTAGGGGTTCGATCCCGGAGGCGGACACAATGCAGATGATACATTGTGTAGCTTTGCGATTAAGGAAACAAACTCTCATCAGCACTTCCTTTAGTTGACTAAATCACTCACGATTTTTTTAACTTTTTTGGAACTTATTATTAATACAATAATCTCGTTTCATACGTTACAAACTCGAACTCTGACCTTAGTATTTGGTAACACCTTTGACATAAATACATCACTGTAAGTTTACTATATCAGTATAAATATTTAAGTGAAGGTTTGGTTTGGTTTCCAGGAAGCACTACTTACTCTAGAAGAAAGCTCCAGCCTCAAGAAACGCTCCAGATGATGAACGTAAACCGAACCTCAAAAAGTCTTGGTCCTTTGGTCCAGGGTACCACAGTTTATTATCCCGAGCCATATGCTACAACAAGGTTGTCCACTCAAGAAGAAAACGACCTGATTGAAGCAGTACGTTATTCTAAAGGTTTACACTTTTACCAATCACAGAGCATAGGTCACACATAATCTTTATTGACCTTGACCTTTTGATTACCACCGTATCACATATTTTGCAAACATGAGTACATTTTGGTCCAACGTTTTATCAACAATCCATTTAAAATTAATCTCGTCACAGTTATATATATATATATGTTGAGCATAATACACAATGATCAGTCTTTCTAAATTAATATGAATTCAACTAGAAGACTCATTAAACTTTATTTTGAATTATTACATGTCTTTAGTCGTCCAACTTTACATTTAAAGTTTAAAAATCTAATCGCTGTCATAGCTGTTTAAAATTCAAAAGTTTAATCTTGTCAAACAGTAGTCTTATATACACACAACGTAGTGGTTGGGCCCGGCATGGCCAAGTGGTTAGGGTGATCAACTGGCAATCTGCGGGTTCGAATCCCCGTCCCACCAAACCGTGTGGGCGTTAAAAAGTGACGGTCAATCCCACTATTCGTTGGTAAAAGAGTAGCCCAAGAGTTGGCGGTGGGTGGTGGTTTTGCAATTAATGCTGTAACGTAACTTTATTTTTTATGAAGATGTAATTTTAAAATTGAGTTATTTCGTTTTCATTGTTTACACACACACTGTTCATCAAAGTTTGTTTTTAAAAAGCTATACTTTATCATTCTGTCTAAACAAAATTAAAAAATCATTTCTGTTTGGTATAAAATGTTGTCAAGTATTTACTGTATGTATATATGTATATCGAATAGCAAAGCATTGATGCTTAACGGAAAGTTTCAATAGCTGTAAAGTTACAATGAACTTTCTGCCCGTTTCAGGGCCGAGACGAACCTTTATATGCTACAGTGAAACGAACCCCTAGACCCCCGAGATCTGGCGTCCATATCTATCACTATCCAGGTAGGAACACTTTACAACTTTATATATTTATGTTCATTTTTACTGATGTTGAGAGCTTCTGAGGAAATATTGGGAGCAAAAAATCAAAGACAAGAACAAGAGTGATAAAATATGTAGGACGTGTTACGTATTAGAATTTCAAATGGCCTAAAATTGCGTTAATTGATCATTTAAATTTAGTAGTTAAATTGTGCTTTGGATTTAGTAGTTAAATTAAAGCCGATATATAGTCAGTTTATGATATTTACCAACAAGATTGATACACACAGTTTTTCTTTTTTAACACATATGCGTTTTAATATACACACAACAATACAATTTACAATAACGGTTATTACCAATAATTATTGCAAACAATGATTTATATACAAAAGTTTCACAAACTTACAAGCAATATAAAGTCTTCTTTATAGTCTGGGACTTCCTTGATATCTTATGGAGAGTTCATGATGAGTGAGTTAATTTCGAGTTGACATAGGCATAATTCACTTAAGAGGGAGCTAGCTAGCCCTGTTGTCTTCACTGTTCATACGCCTGTTGGAGATTGAATTTCCACCGATGACGTTAGGTAATGTTCTCGTAAAAGTATTAATGTCCGATGTGAATCCGCTGACGTTAAATGATTTGTAATGTTCGAACTTTGTAAATGCTCCTGGTC